GCTGGCCTCGAACTCACAGAGATCCGCCTGCCTCTGCCTCCCGAGTGCTGGGATTAAAGGCGTGCGCCACCACCGCCCGGCTTGTTTTATTTTTTGAGACAGGGTTTCTCTGTGTAATAGTCCTGGTTGTCCTGGAACTCGCTTTGTAGACCAGGCTAGCCTCGAACTCACAGAGATCCTCCTGGCTCTGCCTCCCGAGTGCTGGGACTAAAGGCGTGTGACAGCACCACCCGGTGGCAAAATAATTTTTAAAAGGACATGGCAAATGCCACATGTTAATGCTTCTCTTTCATCCCGAGCCAGCAGAGAAGATAAAAGGAAGGTAGACCTGTTCGCACCCTTAGGGAAGATGACTACATTTCCAGAGCAAATTGTTAGTCCACTGTATTCTGGCTGGCCACCTCAAGCCCTTCTGTGGAGACTCCAGGATTTCTGAGAGGGGTGAGGGGAAGGGTATTCCCAGAGAATGAAAAATGGGAGAGAAGTGCTGGAGAAATGGTTAAGCAATTGAGAGCACTAGCTGCTCTACCCGAGGACCCAGGTTCAGTTCCCAGCATCGACACAGTGGCTCACTCACAACTCTAACTCCAGCTCCAGAGAATCCAATGCTCCCTCAGGCTCTCTAGGGCACTAGGCATGCATGTGGTGTACGTGCATACATGCCATCAAAACACTCATACATATAAAGAAACATAAATTATACAGAATTTTTTTTAACAGGAGAGAAGCACTGGATGTGTTCTGAAATTACACACAGGTTAGCATTCATCTATACTGTTTTTGGTGGTTGCTGTAATGCTGGAGATCAGGGCCTGGACTTAGCCAAGCATATGTGGCACAACTGCATCATATCCCAAAATCCAGGTGGGATTTTGAGCACAGACTACTTGGCATTTCAAACACTCTTTTCTCGAAGGTGCTTCCTACCTTGACTGGAACCACTGCAGTCTGCACCATGTTCCGGAAGCGGCCGACAGAGGGGTCCACATCCTCTGCAAAAGGAGACCAGGGTAGGGTTGCGAGAGTAAGGGATTCAGCTGCACACCAAACAACCAGCTTGTTCAAATGGGAAGATACAGCTAATACTAAATATTATGTGCTAAGCCTTCCCAACAACCCCATAAGGCAGGGACTGCTGAACTGCACCGAGTAGATGAGAAACAGATCAAGGCTCAGAAGAGTCAAAGCACTAGGCTAGCCTAGCTGCTGGAGCAGGGAAGAGCTAAGACTTTAATCCAAGCACCAGAAACAGGCCTGTGCGATGCACTGCTTTCCCAGAGTTTTTTCTTTTCTATGTATTTCTCTTTTGAGGGCAGATAAAACAGCAGACTATTTTAGTGGTAAAAATAAAATGACATGGGGCTGGAGAGATGGCTCAGAGGTTAAGAGCACGGCCTGCTCTTCTAGAGGACCTGGGTTCAATTCCCAGTAACCACGTGATAGCTCACAACTGTCTGTAACTCCAGTTCCAGGGATCTGGCATCCTCACATAGACATGTATGTAAGCTAAGGATCAATGCATATAAAATAAATAAAATAAAATGACAAGTGGCCATAACTACATATACTGCCATGTCTGTTCATCAGTAAAGATCAGAGTTAGGAATTAGAACCAGGGCTTCCCATTCAAAACTCACTAGAGGGTCTGAGAAGCCCATCAAAACAGCTCCTTTTCTTGGCTGAAGACACACCCCATAACCTAGAAAACTCTAGATTTTAGTTGTGTATATGTGTGGGTAAGTACAAGTGTGAGTGCATGTCTACAGAGTACAGAAGACGATGTCAGGTCCTCTGGAGCTGGAGTTTCAGGTGGTTTGAGCTACCAACACAGGTGCTGGGAATGGAAATTGGGTCCTCTGCTGAGCCATCTCTGCAGCCCCAACGCCAAAGTGTCAAACACTCTCGAGGCAGAGAGGTGGCTGGGCTGCTCCACAATGAATATAAGAGTTACATCACCAAGGGCTGAGTGAGTAGAAAGCACATCAAACACTTTAAGCAATCATTAGCTTAATATCATCAACGAAAACGAACTGCTTCCCTAAGAGTGTTTTTTCTCATATGCCATCCATTTTAAACTTTTAAAACAGGACATATAAGCCAGGCACTGTGGCACACACACTCAGAAAGTAGCAGGAGAAACTGGGAATTTAGCACTGGCTTTGGCTACATGAGACCCTGTCTTAAGAAAGAGGTGGGGGTTGCCGGGCGGTGGTGGCGCACGCCTTTAATCCCAGCACT